CCTCAGCCACTCCTCATACAGCCCCTCTAGACCCTTCACCATCTTTGCCTCTCCTTTGGATGCTCTCTAATATCTAACAGCTTTAGATCTTTCTTATATTGTGGCACCCAAACTGCCCCCAGCACTCGAGGTGAGGCCACCCCAGCACAGAGCAGAATGGGACAGTCACCTCTCTCAACCAGCCAGTGATGCTGCACCCAACACACTCCACATGCTCATCCATTTCCCCTAGAGAGCATTCCTGGATGGCATCACACTGCCAGGCTCCCCCAGACCATACCCACTCTGTTTTTCCTTTGAGTCACCCTTTCTTTTTCTCTCTCCCATCCCTCTGTGCAGATCCTAACAGGGGAAGACTGGAACGCGGTGATGTACCATGGGATCGAGTCTCAGGGTGGTGTCCACTCGGGGATGTTCTCCTCCATTTACTTCATCGTCCTGACATTGTTTGGTAACTGTATCCTTCCACCTTGCCTTGTGTTGGTGGTACAGTGTGCACTGCACCCTTCCTGGGCTGCTAGAATTCCTGGCTTTGTTTAAATTCTCATAACCTTATACTTTAAAAACCAAATCGTTGCTATGACTTTGCTCCTTACAGCACTTGGGGGAAGAGGTGCAGGTAAGTTATCCCAAGTTGGTGTTGCTTTTCAACATAAACAGTTTTAATTTAATTTCATGACATTTCATTTTAATTGTGGTGGTTTACCTTGAGAATGCCCTATTATGAGTTAATTTATGCTGTGTGAAAAATAATTGAAGTTAGGTCAGAGCATGATCTCTGTACCTTGAATATCTTCACAAATAGTTTGTGCTTGGTCAGGGAAAGGAAGAGTTGAAATGGGTTTGGTGTGTAGATGAGCCTCCAGTCTCTTGATGCCTTTGTCTACACAGCAGCTTAACCAGCTGTGCTGTTCCAACTGCTCAAAATTATCTTGTCTCCACATAATGCTTAAAATTTAACTCTTAGGTTTCAGGCTCTGTGAGTATTCAGTTGTGTTCCAAGATTCGGCACATGAAGTGTCTGGTTTTTGTTGTAAGAGGTTAAAATCTCTTGAAGGCAAGAAGAAACAGGGAGCTTTCATCCCCCCCAAAATATCCCACAGTGTGTGCTGGGGATCCAGCAACACTCTGACATGTGCTATGTCCTGAGAGGTCTCAGGAGGCAACAACACAGCAGTGACATGGAGATTTGAAAAGGGAGGTTGTATTTTATACAGAAACAAGCAAAGCAAGTCCCTGATGCAGTGGGGATGTGATGGGAGTGATGAGGAGAGCCAGCAGAGCAGAGTGGCCGTGGTGGCTCTGTCCCTGCTCTGTGGTGGAGCTGCTGATGCTCTGTGGCATTGCTCACATTAACTAGCTGCAGAATCATTGGTGTGAGACATTAGCTGGCTGCAGCCACAAGCTGTGTGGAGTCACAGCATCCTTAAACATGGAAACGTGGAAGCTGTGGCAGAGGCAGCCTGGCTGGCTGGTTTGTTGTGTAAAAGAGGGATAATGATGCTGAACATTGCTGCTCTGCTCTCTGGAGGGTTCCCCCACTGCCTGAACCTTCTTGCTAGTCACAGTCCCAGTGTGCAGCTTTTCCTGGGAGTCTGGTTTGAGCTGGCAGCATTGCTGGGTACCTAGGAGGAAGAGAGAGGTACATGGGGAGAGCTGGCAGCATTGCTGGGTACCTAGGTTGAAGAGAGAGGTACATGGAGGGCAGCACTAAAGACATAGAGTTGTGGCAGACATAGGTCCCTTCAGCTGCTGGTTGAGGTGACGAAATGAGACATCAGCACCCATGAACTGCACAGCAGCATTCCAGCCCTTTGCTTTGCCTGAGATCTCCCTATTAGCACATGGAATCGAGACAGGGAAGAGCAGAGCAGACAGAGTGTGAGCTGTGGCTGTCACACAAGCGTGTCCCTGCGGGATTTATCCCATTATCGGGCGCTGTCGGAGCCGGAGCGGCCGCGGAGCCAGGCTGGCTCGGCACTGAGGCTCAGACATTGGCCTCCTGGCAGGCAGCACAGCCCTTCCAGAAACACAAGGCTTTGGAAAACTGGGTCAATGGAGAGCTGGGAGGGAGGGAGATCTCGAAATCCTCCGGGCTTGGCATTTGAAAATGAGATTAAGCTATAATCAGGCTTGACAGCACAGCTGAGGGAGAGACTTCTAACCTTAGAGCAGCTAAGAGCCAATGTTTTTGAGGAATGGGATATTAATTCCCTTCCTCACCTTTAATTCAGAGGGGGCTTCTC